AACTCGACCTCATGAACATGAAAATGTATAATTTCGTTATGAAAATACCAAAGTTTTTGATATATAGCATCTTGAATTGATCGAGAGAAAGAGAGAAAAAGAGAGAGAGGAAGGAGGGAGAGAGAATGAGAGGGAGAGAGAGAGGGAGAGAGAGAGAAAGAAAGAGAGAGAGGGAGAGAGAGAAGGAAGGAGAGACAATGTATAAACTTAAATGAGTGTTAAAGTTTGTGTAAACATGATTGTATACACGAATCACAATTTTTTTTAAATTAACATTTTTATTTAGCTATTTATTTTTTTAGTAACGTTTCTATTACGCTGTGACCAGTTTCGATTGCAAGGTAAAACCCGAAATATCTGAAACGTTAGTGTATGAATATTTTGTTGTTCGTTTCATGACTACGCAAATTGTTTTATGTTGATAGACATATAGAGACATAGAGACAGATAGATAAAAAAATGGATAGAGATATAGAGAAAGATAGATAAAAAATGGATAGGTATCTAGAAACATAGAGAAAGATAGATAGAAAGATGGATAGATATATAGAGACATAGAGAAAAATAGATAGAAAAAGGAATAGATATATAGAGAGACAGAAACAGACAGATAGAAAGATAAATAGATATACCAAATGATATATAGATAAAAAATAGAATGATATATAGGGATAGAAATAAAAAAAGATAGATAGATAGATAAATAGATACATAAAGATATATAAAGGGAAAATAAAAGAGATAGAGAGAGAGAGAAATAAAAAGAAAGAGCGAGAGCGAGAGAGAGAGAAAGAATGAAAATTAAAACATGAAACCGAAATTTCGTAGTAGAAATTTTTATTAGCGTTAAAATCCACAACAGTTCTAACAAAGCCCAATGTAGGTGGGCCAGACATAACAACAATAACAACAACAACAACAACAACAACAACAACAACAAACAACAACAAATAATAACAATAATAATAACATCATCGATTCTAGTATATATACGTGAGAGATTGGAGTTAGTAGTATTTTAAATTTCTTAAACATACCATTTCGTTATTCAACCAACTCTTCATAGTTGAAAGTCAGCAACTCATGTTAGTAATTTTTGTACCTAGGCTCTTTAGTATTGTTATTTTATTACTTTCATGTATTATTATTGTTATTATTGTTAATGTCAATTCCATATTGATAACATTAATACAACCTAACGACCCATTCATCAATCCATCCATCTGCCCATTCATCTATCCATTTACCCATCCATCCATTCATCCATCCATTTATCCATCCATCCATCCATCTATCTATTTACCCATCCATACATCCATCCATCTATCCATTCATCCATCTATTAATCCCATCAGAAAAAAATGAGTTATTCAATGAATTCCGTACCATTTAAAAGCGACGAAAGTATAAAAAACAACATCATTGTGAAGGGAGCCTGTCTCGACAAATACAAAAAGGAATGTCAGGAATACGAGCGTCGTGTCAGAGATCTTGAACCGGGCAAAGCATATCATCCTAGTGTCCATTTCCAGAATGAATGTGCCGAGAAGAAGCTAGAAGAAAAGCGTCCAATCAGAGACCAGTTGGAGAAAGATGTCAAAAGATATCAGAACGAATATGATCGCCGTGACAGAGAGAGGAGAAGAGAGGAAGAGAAAAAAAGAGCTGTGAAGAAGAAATAGAGAGGATGATGATGATGATGATGGTGATGATGACAATGAAGATGACCACTATGATGATCATGATGATGATGATGAGGATGATGAGGAGGATGATGATGATGTTGGCTTCAGTGATGATTGGGATGATATTAGTTGTGGTGATGATGATGAAGGTAGTGATGATAATGATGATGATGATGGTGATTATGATCAAATATACTCTTCGATACGAAACATTTATTTTATTTTTTCACCTAATCTGGACATCTTCACAATTTTTGAGATGAAATGAAATTTTGAACATATAATAAATTGAAATATAGCGAAGCACATGGACAATGTTCGCAATGAGATCAAAGAATAAATCATTGACTAATATAATATATACATACACACACACACAAACATACATACATATATACACACACAAACATACATACATACATACATAAACATATATACACACATACATAGACATACACACACACGCATACACACAAACATACAAACAATTTTATCTACATTACATACAGTCAGCTGGCCAAAACACAATGCAAAGCTTTCAATTAAACTGTAATAAAATTATAAAATTTAACAATATTGGCGAAAAATAATAATAATCATAATAATCATAATAATTATAACTATAATTATTCATTCTTACCATTCATCATCATTATTATTTTTATTATTTTTGTGGAAAAAAGATTGCAGTACTATGGTGCAGTAGAAGAATTTTTGAAGAAAAATATTAAACAATAAAATGATCACAATTTCAATAGAAGATAAAAACAACAACAAAAATAATAATAACAACAACAGTAATAATAACAACAACATTAATAATAATAATAATAAAAATAGCAATAATAACAAAAACAATAAGAGAAATTTCTTTATACTACAGATGTTTGCAATATCTGAAATAGCTTTCCATAATAATTATGTTCTGTTGTTGTTGTTGTTGCTGCTGTTGTTGTTGTTGCTGCTGCTGTTGTTGTTGTTTATGTTGATGTTGTTGTTGTTGTTGCTGTTGTTGTTGTTGTTGTTGTTGTTGCTGCTGTTGTTGTTGTTTATGTTTTTGTTGGAGTAGTAGTAGCAGTAGCTGCAACGACTATAGGTGTTGATAATAGTCGCTGATAGTTTTGTGGCTGATGATGCAGCTGCTGATGATGATGATGACGATGGGGTGAGGTTGATGACGATGACGGCGTTGACGCTGACGATGACGTCATAGATTGAAACATAGACGACCCAGTAGCGCTCTGGGTTAGCCGCCAGACTAATTGCTCTTTGTCCATGGATAATCTTTGGATTTCATCATTTCCGGTTTTGTTCTGTTTTAATAGAATCTGCTGTGCATCAATGAGCTCTCTGGTGGTGATGGTAGTGATGATGATGATGGTACTGATGATGATGATTGTGGCGATGATGATGAAGATACTGATGATGATGATTGTGGCGATGATGATAATAATACTAATTTTAATACTTTTCTCGTTCGCTTTTCCTCGCCACCAGCATCTCCATCTCTTCAACATGTTTTATGATCTTTGATAACTTTTCCTTCAACATCGGAATTTCCTTGACCTTGAAAGTTTTTAAGATGACGACGACGATGATGATGATGATGACAGCGACGATTATGATAATGATGCAGATGGTGATGATGATGATGATGATGAGGATGATGACGATGCAGATGATGGTGACGATGATGATGATGGTTAAGATAATGATGATTATGATGACGAACATCATGGTGGTGATGATTATGATTATGATCATACTACTACTACTACTACTACTACTACCACTACTACTACTACTACTACCACTACTACTACTACTACTACCACTACTACTACTACTACTACCACTACTACTACTACTACTACCACTACTACTACCACTACTACTACTACTACTACCACTACTACTACTACTACTACCACTACTACTACTACTACTACTACCACTACCACTACTACTACTACCACTACTACTACTACTACTACTACTACTACTACTACTACTACTACTACTACAGATACTACTACTACTACGACAAAAACAAACAAACAAAACAACGATACTCAACAACAATGGGGTAACCTTTTCCTCTAAGGAAATATTACTATTTCTCAGCGCTTTCACCTCGCCATTCTTCTGATCCAAGACTACCTGCAAACTTTTAACATCGAGTTCCAGCTGTTCGCGCGTCTGCTTGTCGACTCTGGCCGACTCGAGAAGAAATTTTTCCCTCTGGCGGCAGGATTCTAACTTTGATTTCAGCCTCGTTATTTGATCCTTGGGTTTGTTTTGTTGGTTTGTTTGTTTTGTTTGTTTTCGTTGTAGAATTAGTTGTAATAGTTGTTTCATTATTATTAATAGTAGTTGTAGTAGTAGTATTAGTAGCTGTATTAGTAGTAGTAGTAGCAGCAGCGGCAGTAGTAGCAATAGCAGCAGCAGCAGTAGTTGTAGGTGTAATTGTACTAGTAGTAGTAGTAGTAGTAGTAGTAGTAGTAGTAGTAGTAGTAGTAGTAGTAGTAGTAGTAGTAGTAGTAGTAGTAGTAGTAGTAGTAACAAGAATATTAAAAAACGAAATCTACAAACTTCAAAAAATTTTCTCTCTTCAATGTGAGCCTGCGTCATTTTATCTACTTCCGTTTTGTGCCTTGAATTTAGATCTTTGATAACAAAAAACAATTTTGCTCGTTAATTTATAATTTATTAATTGTTACAACTATACCATTAACGGCATCCGTATGTTTTTGCTTTAATTCCTCCACCTCATTTTGGAAAGATTCCTTCAATCCTTCAAATTTTCTAACCTAATTTGAGTTCATTTTTCATATACTGGAATGACAAAATGAATGAATAAACGAACGAACAAACGAAATGAATGAATAAATGAATGAACGAACGAACGAACGAACAAATTAAATACCTTCGCGTTATAATCATTCTTCAGCTGATCAGTTTCTTGCTTATGTTCTGTTTCCACTAGTTTAAATAAAATTAAGAAATATCACTATACATCAAATTTATGAATGAATGAATAAACAAATGAATGAATAAACAAATGAATGAACGAATGAATGGACGATGCATGAAGAAATGAATTGATGAATGTATGAATGAATGTAATATTTATTCACGTTTGATTAAATTTTTAAATTATTAAAATCATCCACAGCAACAATTTTACTGTAAGATCAGAATTTCAACTAAATTAGAACTGTTAGGGTGTTACATTTTTCCAGCGCTAACTTAACGGCTCTGAGTTTTGGAAAATTTCTAAATAACTTGGAAAAAAGATTGACGCTGCTGAGATGTGGTTCTTGAGAAGGGTTATGAAAATTAATTGGGCCTCTCTGACCTCCAATGAGGATGTATTAAAACAATCCAGTTATGAAAAGAGGAAATTACTACGGGTAATCCAACAGGGGCAGCTAAAGAGTTTTGGTCACATCATGCGGAAGGAAAGAATGGAAAATCTAGAAGCTACTGGAAAGATTGCCGGGAAAAGTAATCGCGATCAACAACAACGAATAACATTTGTGAAGTCCTTGTGTCACTTGTTGAATATCACCACATTTCAAATCTTACAAAGTGTTAAAGTTCGTCTGTATGTGTGTGTGTGTATGTATGTGTGTGTGTGTGTGCGTGTGTGTGCGAGTAAAATATGACTTCACTAACGTTCGTTAATGATTGTTTTATGTCTTGTGTTCAAATCATTCCTCAGTTTTTCAATCTTCTCTTCTAATTCTCTCTCTAACTGGCTCAATTTATTTCTTTGTTCGGCTTGCTTGGCATCTTTCTCTATAATTTTGTTATCATTTTCTACAAAATATTTTCTAATTATTATTAAGAAAAAACTGTTAATTAACTTTAAAATAACTCAAAATTAACTGTGAAATCTTTAAAAATATGAATTTAAAAATAATTGAAAGAATAAAATAATTCGTTTTTAATGAAAAATGTTGCTAAATCCATCAAGAATTAAATAATTGAACCTTTGTAAGAATGATTTTTCGTATCATTTTGAGGACCGAGTTGTGATTTTAACTTCTGAAATAAAATAAATAGATGAATAAATAAAAATTGAGCTATACGAATGACGCGTGTTTGTGCGTGTGCGCGTGTCTGTGTGCGTGATGCTACGTTTAATACAATGTATTTGTTTCCCACGCATGTAGCTTAAACACAAAACACATCCATTCATTCATGTTTTTCACCACCTGTTCATCCATCCATCTATTCATCCATCCATCCATACATTCATTCATCCATCCATTCATTCATCCATGCGTGAAAACAGCAAGAGAATTTCTTTGCGTTCGAAGTAGATCAAATCACCGCGACCCAGAAACCGGCATCTTTACCCACAACTCCATCAAGCCTACATACTTTCGTGCTGACAATATTTGGCTTAGCGATAGCTTTTTCTTTCATTTCTATATCCTCTTTTTTATATTTAGATTTCAGCGTCAGATTTTTGGTCTGGGAAGGTTTTGTATTTTCTGGCTTTAGATCTATCTTGTTATTAATTTTCCCACAGTCTGGTTCGTTTGTGCTAGTTGGCGTGTTTGATGTGATA